ACATGGTTTCGCAACAGTATGTTGCAAACCAGATGTGCGTTCGGGCGCTGGTTAATTAATAGGAAACCAACTATTGCTGCATCAATTTTAGACCATGCTACCAAATGGGATTCTTGCGCGCGCGTGCCGGAATCGATCTAAAGCCCTTGCGCGCGCGCCGTCGCAATACTTCTTTGGCAACGAAAGAGAAGACGTGCACGCGCGCGCGTGCTGGAATTCGTCAACACCCGCAGATTCCGTAAGCAATTCAATATTGTATGTCCCGGAACCACGAAAAAAACACATGGACGTGCAACGTATATTTTCAAACATGCATGTTATCGCACTCCTGTGAATCCTGAAAACAACCTTCAGCGTGTTCAACAGTTTCATTACTTTTGGCCCGGCAAACCCCTCGCGCGGAACGTCGAAATCATTCGAACGCCATGGCGGGCGTGTTGGGGGGGGCACGACGCGTGGACCACTCTCGCGCGTCGGCCGCGCGCGCATGCCGAACCCCCCGAACCCCCCAACCCCCCGATCACCGACGCGAAGGCGCCGTCATCGTCCCCGGCGTGATCAACATGGGCGCCGTCATTGGCCTTGCCGTCGTCGTTGCCAACACCGTCGCCAACATCGTTACCATCAAGATCGCGTCTGCCGTTGTCGACGCTGCTATGAGACCGCGCCCGCCCAAGCCGCCGACTCGCACTGAACTGCCCGCTGGGAGATGCACAGCGGTCACCTCCACAATGGCCGCGTCGGCAGCGCCAAACCAGGCCGCTGCGCGCGCGAGCGTGCGCGGGCCAGCTCGGCCGCAGAAGTGCGCCAGCCAACCCCGAGCACTCATCGCAATCGCCTTCGAACGCGTTTGCAAAATGAGGTGCGGGTGGGTGGGTGGGATGATTGCGCGAGCAGTGTAGTGGACGACCCTCTGCGCAGAGCAGTTGGTTATCTTTTCTCAACCAAGAATAGGCTCTACCCCCTCCCCTTCCCCCCCAGAGTTAACGATCCCCCCCCCCCTGGGGCATTGCGATTCCATGTTTATTCGACATGCTCCACACATTCAAACTTATTCTACACAATCCACACGAAAAACACCACAAAGCCACCACGCGCGCGCCCATGTCAGAATCGTACCAAACACCATGTGTTTGCAGGCGCTTCAGCGTACAACCCAAAAAGACCCAAGGGCTTTTGCAACACAGTGCTGCTGTATGACAATTTACATATGGTCCTGCCCAATCGCCCGTCTTAAATACGAACCAATACTATCACAGCCAGGCCGGTATCACTCCCCCCGGCCATGCTTTTCAATAAAAATATCATGCGCGCGCACTCGTTTATCAAAAGTCATAAGTTTTCAAGAGCCCCTTCCAAAAATGTGACGAAATGCGCACGCGCGCGTCGTCGCGCGCGCATGCCGAAATCCTTAAAAAAAACCTTCGGTTCCGGAAAGACTTCAAAATCGTGTGTCCAACGGACATACAAAAACACATGGCTTCGCAACACAGATTTTCAACAAAAGCGTGCGCGCGCGCTCTTGCGTCGTCGTCGTCGTCGTCGCCTCCCTCCTTCCTCGTCGTCGTCGTCGCCGTCGTCGTCCTTTGTCATTCCTCGTCGTCGTCTTGGCGTCGTCGTCGTTTCCGTCGTCGTTGTCGCCGTGGTCGAACTTCTTCCCTCGTCGTCTTCGTCGGCGTTTCGTCGTTGTGCCTCCTATTTCGTCGCCGTCGTCGTCGTCGTCGTCGTCGTCGTCGTCGTCGTCTTCCCTCCTCCCTCGTCGTTGTCGTCGTCGCCGTCGCCGTCCCCCCTCGACGTCGTCGTCTTTGTTGGCGACGTCGTCGTCGTCGTCGTCTTCGTCGTCGCCGTCGTCGTCGTCGCCGTCGTCGTCGTCGGCGTCGTCGTCGTTTTCGTCGTCGTCGTCGGCGGCGTCGTCGTCGTCGCCGTCGGCGTTGTCATCGTCGTCGTCGTCGTCAACGTCGGCGTCGTCGTCGTCTTCGGTGTTGTCGTCGTCGTCGTTGTCGTCGCCGTCGAAGTCGTTGGAGACTCGCCCGCAACGTCTACCCTTGTCGACGTTGCCATGATGCCGCGCCCGCCCAAGTCGCCGACTCGCAATGAAGTGCCCACTGGTATTTGCCCAACGATCAGCGCCACCGCGGCCGCGTCGGTCGCGCCATACCAGCTGGCCGCTGCGCGCGCGTGCTTGGGTTGGCGCGGCCGCAGAGACGCACCAGCCAACACCGAGCATGCATCGCAGTCGCCACCTCATGGGTTTTGCAAACCAAGTTGCAGGTGGGTGGGTGGGATGTTTGCAAAAGCGCGGGATGTGTCAATTCGTTTGTGAAAACCAATTGCACCGCGTAGGTTCTCCGTTCTAACAAAAAATAAGATTATGCCCCCCCCCTGGGGTTATCCCCCCCTGGGGCGATCAACTCGGCCACGCGTATTGCAATTTACATACGATTCTGCCCCATCGTTCGTCCGCAAAACTGATTCCGTCCCAGCCGAGCCCGTATCCTCCCCCGCCATCCTTTGCCACATTTGCTGTGCGCGCGCACTCGTGTATCAAGAACCATTGATTTCAGAACTCCCTCGCAAAAGAACGGGGCGAAATGCACACGCGCGAGCTGTCGCGCGCGCGTGCCGGAATCTTTCACTAACCTTACGGTTCATAAGGATTTTAAGATGAAGTGTCCAAACGAAGCCACATACAGAACAACAGTTCTCGCAACAAGGATTTCCAAAACAAAAAAAAACAAAAAAATGTGCGCGCTCTTGAAAAGTCTTTGTTACTAGCAAAGTTATTCCTGATGTCCAGAAAGTGCTGCCAAACGAGATTCGCGTGCGCGCGTGTCGAAATCGTTCGAACGCCCTGGCGCGCGCGCCGTCGCAGTGCACGCGCGTGCGTCGTCGCGCGCGCATGCGGGAAGCCGTCAAAAAGCTGTTGTGTCGCAACCATTTAGAAACCGATTGCCCAAACAACATAAAACAACAACACATGGTTTCGCAACATCAGTTTTGAGAAAAGAAAAAAAAACGTCCGCTCGCGCTCCTGCGGAATCTTAAGAAAAAACGCATGCGCTTGTTACCATGTTCGTGGAATTCTGCCAAGCGGGCCTCTCGCGCCGCATGCCGAAATCATTCGCACGCCCTTGTGCGCATGCTGGGGGGGGGGCGCGATCCGTGTCAAATCAAACCATGCGGGCCACTTTCGCGCGTTGGCCGCACGCGCACGTCGAACTCTTTCCGAAACTTTCATCACCGACGCGAAGACGCCGTCATCGTTGCCGGCGTGATCAGCATCGTCGCCCGCACTGGCCGCGCCGCCGTCGTTGCCAACACCGTCGCCAACACCGCTGTTACCACGACCGTGTCTACCATTGTTGACGTTGCCATGATATCGCGCCCGCCCAAGTCGCCGACTCGCAATGAAGTGACCACTGGTATGTGCCCAGCGATCAGCGCCACCGCGGCCGCGTCGGTCGCGCCAAACTAGGTGGCCGCTGCGCGCGCGTGTTTTGGTCGGCGCGGCCGCAAAAATGTATCGGTTAACGGCAAACACTCATCGCAATCGCCACCGCATGGGTTTTGCAAACCAAGTTGCCGGTGGGTGGGTGGGATGTTTGCAAGAGCGTGGAGCGTGACAACTCGTTTGTATGAATCAAGTGCACCACATAGGTCACACAATGTAAATGCACAACATGGATTACAACACGCAGATGGCACCACTTAGGCTGCACCGCGTAGCTAGCACACCACATATCGAGCCGCCTGGTTCGCACCACATCGATTGCACAACCACATCAAGCGTACCAAACATACTACACCACACAGGTTCCACAAGATGGGTTGCTCAACATAGACTGCACTACATTAATTCCCCCACATTGATTGCACAACATGGATTGCACCACGTAGACTGCACATCATAGTTGCACCATGTATTGCACAACATGGGTTTCAAAACATAGATTTCGCCACACAGACTGCTCCACCTAGATTGCACAACATGTGTTGTACCTCGTAGGTCGGTGCACTTGTACTGCACAAGGTCACATCTACTGCACTACATAGGTTGCCCCAAACAGTTTGTACAACGTGGATGATTAGAAACACACTGTGGGTCCACGCGGGCTAATAACAATTGTGTATACATATATACACATACATGTTGTTATTATTGTCGATTGTACAGGGACGTTGTGCAGCGATCGCCCCATGCTTGTGGGTACTTTTGGCGCACATCATTGTACGCAGCATTGTGCCACGTATGCACTCGCTGTGTTTGCATGCCGCTGCCATTTTCACTCGAGCCCTGACGAGCCCCAGCAAGGAGCGAAACGCTGACAACCGTACTGAACAAGAACACGGTCTTGAGAGCGCCACACGAATACAGTAATTATGGGGCCCGACCACCAGAAACCTTCCACAAGAAACCGAGCCCTGAGGCCCCAGGGCGTCCACTGACTTTTGGTGTGTGCGCACGCCACGCCTCCCATAGCAAAACCATCGAAACCCAAGAAAGTCAGGGCACCCAGGAGGCCAGCAGGGTGCTTCTTGGCGTGGGCCTCCACTGGAAGGCACCACTTCTCCGAGCTGCGCCAAGGCGTGGCGACGAGGCCCCCCCAAAAGGCCGACTACCGTCGTCTCAACTCGCCCTCCTCTGAAGGCCCGTGGGGAAGTCAAAAAAGTACTCCAGATTTCGTAATAAAGGGAGGGGGATCTCATTTCGGGGGGGGTCTCTTCCAGGCTATCTTGGAGGGCCTGGGGGGGTCTGGGGACGATGTTTTGGAGGGTTCTCCCAGGGGGGGGGGTCTAAAACTTTTCGTCTGGGAGGGTTGAGACCCCCTCCCTTTTACCCGAGGTGCGTTTTGACCAGGGTCTCGAGGCGAATGCAGCTGTGGCGGCGAGGGCCTCCCAGGAAGCCCCAGACAGGGGAAACGAGGCAGAGGTAATTAGCTGTATGGGTGCCTTTTCCTCCTCCGAGGGTCCAGGCACGACGGCAGCCCTTGGTGCCCGGCCTCGGCTTCGGCGAGACGCGCCCCGAGGCCACCGGGCTACGGCCTTCCAGGAGCTCCAGGTGGCGGCGCCTCGGTCTGCTCCCGATGCACTGCAAGCCCGGGCCGGTCAGGCTTTGCAAGATCCCGCAAGATCCCGCAAGCAAGCCTGGGTCAGTGCACCCCTGGTCGGCGGCGAGCGAGGGAGGGAAGTGAGAAGGAGAAGGCCTTCTCAGAAGGCGGCGAGACTTCTCGGAAGCCCTTGCGCCTTCTAAGAAGTCATCTGTGTCTTCGGGGAAGGGGTAGAACACTTCTGAGATGGCCGGGGGGGGCTTCCGAGCCTTCTGAGAAGGCTTTCTCCCTCTCACTTGAGGGGGCCCAGGGATACACAAATAAATACACACAAATCCAAGGATTCTCGGGTCGGGCGAAAGGGGGGGATAGCACAGGGGGGGGTGAGAATCAGCTCACGTAGCTGATTTTCCCGGCGCCTCCCGGCGCCGGAGGCGGCCATGTATCGAGGAGTGGGCCCCTCGGTGAGGCCGAAACCAGCTGCATGCAGCAAATTTCGTAACCCCCCCTTTCCCAATCCCCCCCTTTCGTCCGGCCCGAGATTCCCCATCGTTTCCCAGCTGCTCCTGCTTCTCGTCTTTCCCCCCCCCTTCTCCCTTCCCATCTGTTCCCACGTTCTCTACGAGATCGACGCTGACTTGCGCCTCTGTGTTTTCTCCCTCCTGATCACTTCCCCCCTGGGCTCGCCGCCGCTTGCTCGGGAGCGGCCAAGAGGGGGGTGTGCAAGAGGGGGGGTGCAAATCATGACCAGCGGCATGTGCGCGGCCCAGCGGGGGGGCCAGGGACGTAATGAAATAAGAAGAGGCGCCATGAAATCTGGGGAAATATCATGGCCCCCGCCATGATATCCACCCCCCCCTAGTCATCACCCCCCTCTTTTCCGCCCCCGACTTGCAGCGACCCCCGTCGGAAGGCTCCCGACCCACCGGGGCCCCGCGGCGGCGGGCGGGCTCTGCGGCGGCCAGCGGGTGCGCGCGCGCGCCGCCGGGAGCGCGCAGACGGCGGAGCTCGGGGAGGGCTGCTCGGAGCGCGGGCTGCTGTGTGCTGTCTCGTAGAAGTCAAAAAAATCCACCCCCAGAATAATCATCCCCCAGAAGTCAAAAAATCCCAGAATAATCACCCCCAGAATAATCACCCCCAGAATAATCACCCCCAGAATAATCACCCCCCCATAATCATCCCCCAGAATAATCACCCCCAGAGCTTTTTCGTCGAAGTCAAAAAATCCCCCCCCAGAATGATCACCCCGACATGCGGAATCGTTCAGCAAACGCGCCCAAGGGGGAATCAGACAGGGCAGGGCTGTCTAGTAAACGCCCAGGGCCGTGAAGTAAGCGCCAAGTGTCCGGTCCGGGTGTTTTTTTCCTCCCCGGATTTCGTGGGACGTACCAGGGCATTCTACGTAGTAGTATGTGTCCTCCTCGGAGGCGTGCGTCCGACCCGAGCATGTAATAGAAGCAGCTTGTAGCGCATCCGTTTCCCGAGCGGCACGGCCAGAAAGCGCCCGTCACGAAGCATGTGCTACAAGATTTCTCGGCGCGCGCGTCGCCCCTGGGGGGGCGACGCACACATAGTACCAGTATGTTGGGGTGACGCCGATTCTGGGGTCCCGAGACCCAGACCCCCTCGAGACATGAAAACAATCACTGGAAATGTTTGACTATTTCGGCCGCTGAAGGCCCTTACCGGGCCTCGGGACCGTCAAACACACGGCTCGGGATGAGAAAAGGGTCCCAGGGAAAGGCTCGACGCCTTTGGGGTCGACGTTATGACCAATCATGCTGGAACCAGTGCGGGGACAGATCGTGCGGTGTCCTCAGGATCACCAAGGACCTCACCACACGGTCCGCCACAGCACGATGTTGGGACCTCGGAGGCTCCAAAAGCTCGAGACGTCCTCGGAGAACGACCCAAATCCCAGAACCGTGCGGTCACCACGAATCCCCACCGACTCACCACACGGTTGGTCACCGCACCGTCTGGGGACCCCCAATGCATGCCATGCACTGTGGACACACACTTGCGCTGTGGACGTGTACGTACCTCGGACCCTTTCAGCATGGCGGAGTGCCCATGAGGGCACAACTGCGCCTTAAGATCGCCAGCCCACCAATCATCCCGGCAAGGGGCTCTGGCACGGATCTCGCAAGCCTTCAAGCCCTCATGATTCCGCTGCCCTTGGGGTGGAGATTTCGCACCTGGGAGACTTCGAATGGTGAACGAGCCTTGCCCCTGCCATGCATGTCTTGGACCAGTGAAAACCCGAGGCCCCTGGGACGCTTCCTGTACCTGGGGGAGCTGCAAGTCCTGTGCGAATGCTAATGTCTCCGGGCGTTGGAGGCGGCCTGGAGCGGTGAGAAGCATGTCCCGGTGGGTCGCGCCACACAGTGGACCTGGGAAACAAACCGCTCGAACGGGCACACACACACACACACACGGAGAATGCCTGCATCATGCTCGAGCAGGCACGTGCAAGACCCTCTGGAACAGTCCTGGGGCGCACCCTGTCTGGACGGCACGCACCATCCGCCAGAGTGCACGCACGGAACGCACCGGGAGCGGTCCCAGAACGGACCAGTACCTTGACCTGAGACACGCCATCCTCGAATGGGCACGACAGAACGGCCAGGAAACGGTTAGAGCAAGGGACATACGAGGGGACAAGGTCTCCCCCCCAGGGAAGGACCTTGTGGGGACAACACTTGACCACTGTTTGAAGTCTACATGGAAACGATACTCAGGAAGACACTGTCCCAGGAAAGCAAGTCGAGCACAGATATGACAGCAACACAATTCTTGGCGACAGTGGATATTCTTACACAAGCGGAAGGCGAGCCCGCTGCCAAGACCTCCGTCGCGCTGTCTTCAAGACGCACGCCGCAGAGCTCTCGGCACGATTCCCAGGATTACTTTCCAGCAACGGGCACTCTAATGATCGTGACGATGACTATATAGATGTGTATATATATATATATATATATGTGACTCTCTCTCTCTCTCTATATATATAGGTTCATCGACGTCTCAGTGTATACCTATATATATATATATATGTGTGTACACATATATACATCGATGTGTATCTGCAACCGTGCCTCTGGTCACGGAGTGGGGGGGTCCTCAGGTGATTTGCCTCGTCTCCTGAGCCCCAGTCCTCGATCCTAAGGGTTCTCAATAGGGCCCGAATCCCAAATTCTGGGTTTGACACATCTTTTTGCTGACTTGCCCAAGAGGGCCTCAAGACGGGTCAACAGTGCCTCAAGAGGCTCTCAAGACGGCCCAAGAAGGCCCCGAGGCGCTCAACGATCGCACCACGACGCCCAAGATGGCCCAGAGACGGCCCAATAAGCCTCCAAGACGCCCCAATAGGCCTCCAAGATGCCTCCCAAGAGGGCCCCAAAAGGCACGTTTCATAGATTTGCCATATGGGTTTGAAAGAGTTTGGCGTTCTGGCCATTTGGGCTTCCCGACGCTCCGAGATGGCCGAAGGGGCGCCCCAAATGGCCCCTAAGACAACCCAAAAGGCATCCAAGAGGGCCCCTCAACGGGCCAAGACGGCCCCCAAACGGCTTAAGAGGCATCAGCCCAAGAAGCCCTCACAAGGGCTCCAAGAGGGGGCCCAGACGGGGGACCAGAACGGACATTCGAGCCCTCGGCCCTGAGAGGCCCCAAGGAAGCCCCAAGAGGCCTTCAAGAGCCCCCTAGAGGCTCCCAAGAAGCCCCCAGGAAGCCCCAAGAGGCCCACAAAACGCTTCCAAGAGGCCCCCCCCAATGGGCCCACCAAGAGGCAGCAAAACTGCCCCCAGGAGGCCCCCGGGAGCGCGTCGAAGAGACCCCGAGAAAAATCCCTGGGGACTCTCACTCACAATCTATACATGGTGGCGGGATTGGCCGAAGGGCGTCCGATATTCCCCAAACCGTGATTGCACTCAAAAGTTCTTACTTGTGCTCCAATGCACTGGGTCGTGTGGTTGGTCTGGCGGCTACGTCGTCGCCGTCGCCGCCCCGTCGCCGCCTCGTCGCCGCCCGTCGTCTGGGCCGTGTGGCCGCTCTGGCGGTTACGTCGTCGCCTTCGCCGCCCCGTCGCCGCCCCGTCGGCGCCCGTCACCGCCTCTTGTTGGCACCACATAGATTTCAGTTGAAAGAGTCGTGTCTGCGGCGAACTTGGATCGCTCACAACATAGAGTGCACGACGCGCGTTATTCGTTTTAAAAGGATATAGATTCGATCCCCCTGGGACTATCGGTATCCATTTTTGTTTTGCAAATTACATACGTATTTGCCCAACCGTCCATCTTACATGTGAACGCCTACCGTCCCAGTCAAGCCGGTATCGACACCCCCGTCATCATTTGCAAACAAATATATGCGCACACTGGTGTGTTAAAAAAACAGTCGTTTCCGGAAACCCGTGCAAACAATGAAACGAAGTGCGCACGCGCGCGTCGTCGCGCGCGCATGACAACATCCCGCAAAAAACCTTCGCCGTCGTACGGATTTCAAAAATCAAGTGCCCAACAAACATACAACAAACACATGGCTTCGCAAAAAACATGTTGTGCCAAAGCTTGCGATCACGCTCTTGCGAATTATGAAAACCATTGGCTGTTTGCAACCATTTCACTTAATGATACCACATGGGCTTCGCGCGTGCATGTCAAAATTGTTCGCACGTCCTTGCGCGCGTGCTGTCGCAAGACGATATGCATCAGATTACACGAAGTGTACACACGCGCGTCGTCGCGCGCGCATGCCGCAATCAGTCAAAAACCTTGGGTGTTGCAGCGATCCGAAAACCGAGCGTCACGAAACCATCAGCAAACACATGGTTTCGCAACACCTGTTTTCAAACACCAGCCTGTGATCGGGCTCTGGCGAATTATCTACGTTTCTTGTTTGTTGTGCGTACACATGTATGTATACATATGAATATATACATATACATATATACATACGGTTCAGAAGGGCCTCTCGCGCCGAATGCCAAAATCATTCGAACGCCTTTGCGCGAGTGCTGGGGTGGCACGATCCGTGTCAAATAATACCATGCCTGCCATTTTCGCGCGTCGGCCGCGCGCGCATGTCGAACTCCTTCCAAAACCTTCATCACCGACGCGAAGACGCCGTCATCGTCGCCGGCGTGATCAGCATCGGCGCCGTCACTGGCCGTGCCGTCGCCGCTGTCACCATCCCCACCAGCACCGCTACTATCATCATCGTGTCTACCGTTGCCGACGTTGCCATGATACCGCGCCCGCCCAAGTCGCCGACTCGCACTGAGTGCCGGGTGGTATGTGCCCAGCGGCCAGGGCCACCGTAGCCGCGTCAGTCGCGCCAAACTAGCTGGCCGCTGCCATGCGCGGGCGAGCGCGGCCGCACAGATGCACCAGCCAACACCAAGCACTCATCGCAATCGCCGCCGCATGGGGTTTTCACTGCGAACAGAACATAATTCTCCTTTCTATAAAAAATCGCCCCCCCGGTTTATCGGTACACCTTATTGTGTCGCAGTGTACATTCAATGTTGCCCCATCGCCCATCCTAAATATGAACTCGTACCATCCCAACCCAGCCGGTATCGACCCCCCCGCCATTCTTTGCAAACAACTATGCGCGTACACTGCTGTATCAAAAAATCATCCATCCCCAAGAATTCCTTGCAAAAGCTGCGACGGCGTGCACACGCGCCCGTCGTCGCTCGCGCCGGACGACATCCTTCAAAAACCTTCGGCGTCGTACGGGTTTCAAAAATCGGGTGCCCAACAAACATACAACAAACACATGGATTCGCAAAACAAATGTTGTGTCAAAGCTTGCGGTCACGCTCTTGCGAACTTTGAAAGAAGAAAAAAAAACAACGGGTTTCCAACATCTTCCTACAATTCTACCACATGGGCTGCGTGCGCGCATGTCGAAATCGTTCGAACGCCCTTGCGCGCGTGCTGGGGTGGCACGATCTGTGTCAAATGATACCATGCGTGGCGCTGTCGCGTGGCTGCCGCGCGCGCATTTCGAACTCCTTACAAAACCTTCATCACCGACGCGAAGACGCCGTCATCGTCGTCGGCGTGATCAGCATCGGCGCCATCACTGGCTGCCCCGTCGTCGCTGTCAGCACTGTCGCCAGCATCGCTACTCGCACTGGAGTGCGCGCGCGAGCATGCGCAGGCGAGCGCGGCCGCACAGATGCACCAGCCAACACAAAGCACTCATCGCAATCGCTGCCGCATGGGGTTTGCAAACCAAGCTGCCGGTGGGTGTGTGGGATGGTTGCGCAAGCAGTGGGGTGGACAACTTCAAGTTGAGCAGTAGTGGAATGCAAAACATAGTTTGCACCACACCGAATGCCCAACCTACATGGCATAACGACGTACATTGCACTGCATAGATTGCACAGCATGGACTGCAGCACAACTATTGCACAGTATCGCTTGCACCACATGTATTGCACCAGAAAGGTTGCACAACACAGGTTCCACAAACAACATACATAGCTTGACTCACGTACATCACTAACCATAGTTAGCACCATGCCTACATTTATAGTTATATACGTATATATAATACATGCAACCTATATGGCATCACGTATACTGCAAGCCATGAGCTGACCAGATATATTGCATAACTAATACTGCACTGCATGGGTTGTCGAACATAGATTGCACACATACATTGGACAAAATATAGTGGACCACACATATTGGACCGCGTATATTGCAACACATAGATTGCACAACCTAGATTGCCCCAGATAGACTGTTTCTCATTAGGGGTACCACATGGATTGCACTACATAAACTAGGGAACACAGTTTGCATATTGTAGATTGCGCAATAAATATTGCACAACCTCAATTGCACCATACAGTTTGCCCAACATTCATCGCTCCACATGACCTGAAGCACCTAGATTGCTTGACATAGATAGCACCGAATACGTAGATTGCTAGACACACAATGTTTGGGGTCCAGACTGGCTAACATGTGTATGTGCGTCTATGTGAATATGTAGAATGTTAGATGTATAACAACGCCTCCATGTTTAATTGTAAGTAGACATACATCTAAGTATACGCGCACACACATGAACAAATGTCAGTATGTATGTATTCGAATGTGTATATGCATATGTAAATATGTATGTATTTGAGGTTGGGGTGGGATCGAAGTGACACGGAGATCCCAGCCTCGCCAGCTCGCGGATCGGCCCCGACTTCCGGCGCCCAGTTCTGCACGGGCAGCACTGGGCATGCCATCTGCCACTTCTCCTCCTCTTCCTCCTCTTCCTCCTCCTCATCTCCACTTGACCCTCCCCACCTTCCCCTCCCCCTTCTCCACTTCCTCCTTCCTCCCTCCTCCCCTCTTCCGCATCTTCCCCTCGTGCCCCCTCTTCTCCCTCTCCCCCCGCTTCCCACGGGCCCCCCCTTCCCCTAGTCCCCCCCCCCCCCTCCCTTCCCCTCCTCAAGGCGGTATTTACCCAAGGGGCGAGCTGGGCCACCGGATCTGGGATCTGGACGGCGAGCGGTCGGATGCGGGGGAGATTCAGCGCACGGATCGCCGCACAGCCAGCACGCGGCCCGCCGCTCCCCGCAGCTGTGCCGGTCGCAGCAGCGCCGCCGGCAGCCGCAGAGCGAATCGAGGGGACAGCGCGGTCTCCGCGGGCCCGCCCGGCCGCGCACGGATCGGGGTGAGCGAAGGGGGAAGAGAACGATGGACATGGCCAAGACTAAGCACGGAGACGTCATTGTCGACCTTGGTCGTCGCCCATCTTTGTCATCGTCGCTTCGTGGATCATCCTCGCGAGTGGGCGACGGCCCGCATGGACCATCGCCAAGATCAGCGTCGACAATACCCCGCGGCATCCTGGTCATGGTCATAGTGATTGTTTCCTCGAGTGAAAGCTCGGTCGGGCCGATGACGGATGAGGGTGCCACTAGGTGCGCGACGCCACTGGCAAGGGGACAGCCTCCAGATGGGTTTTATACAGCTGGTAGGGGCCCAAGTGTGCTCGTTCGAGCCTGGTTCCACCAAGCAGGTGAAGGTGGTTGGGGGCATCGTCAACATCTGGGGATCGAAGCTAAAATAACGCATCATATGAGTTCGATGCCATCAAGAATTCTGCCCATTGGACGAATTCATCACGGTTCCTGCAGAATGGTTCGCCCTGGGGTTGCGCCGGAACCACCGGACCCACCGGACCCACCGGACCCGCCGGACCCACCGGACCCACCGGACCCACCGGACCCACCGGACCCACCGGACCCACCGGACCCACCGGACCCACCGGACCCACCGGACCCACCGGACCCACCGGACCCACCGGACCCACCGGACCCACCGGACCCACCGGACCCACCGGACCCACCGGACCCACCGGACCCACCGGACCCACCGGACCCACCGGACCCACCGGACCCACCGGACCCACCGGACCCACCGGACCCACCGGACCCACCGGACCCACCGGACCCACCGGACCTGCAGATCCGATCCCGACGACGATGATGTTGATGCACATGATGAAGATGATGTCGATGATGGCGATGATGATGTCGGCGACAACGAGCATGTTGTCAATGGTCAAGATGGTGAAGTCGATACTGCTGGTAATGTTAATGATGTTGTTGACTATGATAACGAAGATGATGATGATAATACTGGTGATTTCAAATACTCATGATGGGTACCGACCTCACAATGACCGTCATGATCATCATGACCGCCATCGTCCCCACTATAGAACGATTCTCGCGCGCCGGACACCGGACACTGAAGCCGACACCGGACACCGGACACCGGGCACCGGACACCAGACACCGGACACCCGACACCGGACACTGGCCACCAGCCACCGGCCACCGGACACCAGACACCGGACACCGGACACCCGACACCCGACACCGGACACCGGCCACCGGCCACCGGCCACCGGACACCGGACACAGGACACCGGACACCGGACACCGGGCACCGGACACCAAACACCGGGCACCGGACACCGGACACCGGAGCCATCGGACACAGGACACCGGACACCGGACACTGGACACCGGACACCGGACACCGGACACCGGACACCGGACACCAGACACCGGCCACCGGCCACCGGACACCGGGGACCGGACACCGGACACCGGACACCGGACACCAGACAATGCGCACCAGACACCAACGGACACCGGACACCGGACATCAGACACCGGACGCCGGACGCAGGACGCCGGACGCCGGATGCCGGATGCCAGAAACCGGACATCGGACATCGGACACCCCGTTTCCGGACACCGGACACCGGACACCCGGTTTCCGGACACCGGACACCGGACGCCAGATGTTGGACGCCAGACGCCGGATGCCGGACACCCGATACCCGACACCGGATTTTGGACACCGGACACCGGACACCGGACACCGTTGCTTGGTCGTTTGGTTGGTTGGTTGGTGGGTTGGTTGGTTGGCCGGTTGGTTGGTTGGTTTGCCGTTTGGTTGGTTGGTTGGTTGGCACGTTGGTCGGTTCGTTGGTTGGTTGGCCAGCTGGCTGGTTGGTTTGTTTGTCGGTTGGCTGGTTGATTGGCCGGTTTCATTACAAACAGGTTGGTTGGTTGGTTGGTTGGCAGGTTGGCCAGTGCGTTGGGTGGTTGGCCGATTGGCCGGTTGGCGGGTTGGTTGGCCGGTTGGCCGGTTGGTTGGCAGGAAACTCGGGTGTTTTGTTGAATTTCCAGACGGGGTTCTGTTTTGTAAGCAGGAAGCTATGGCCGTTTTTTTGAATTTTCAGGCTGGGATCCGAATTCTGAAAGAATCGATTGGCATAATCTTCACCTACTGTTCTGTAAGCAGGAAACTATGGCCTTTTTTTGAATTTTCGGGTCGGGCTCCGTATTCTCATAGACAATCGTTTGGCACTTTCATTCTCTATTGTTCTGACAGCAGGAAACTATGCTCTTGCATTGTATTTCCAGGCGGGTGCTCGGGGTTTTACAGAGAATGGCTAAGCGTATTCACTTCATATTGCGTTGTAAATGCTTAGCGCAAGCGAACATGTAAGTAATTTAATAGTTGTCTAATTATTTATTTAATTATTTGCGTGGCTCCCTTGCTCAGTTAACCATTGGCACTGTGTGGAGGAGGCGCGGAACGATGCGGATTGGATGATCATCTAAATGATTATTACAATGAGCATGCAAGCCAACATGTAAATAATTAAATAATTATTTAATTATTGATTCAATTATTTGCGCGGTTCCGTTGCTCATTTGATCATTGACGCTGCGTGGGGGAGGCGCGGAAAGATGGCGGATTGAATGCTGATCAAAATGATTATTTCGATGAGCACGCAAGCGAACATGTAAGTAATTGAATAATTATTTAATTATTTATTTAATTATTTGCGCGGTTCCCTTGCTCATTCGATCAATGGCACTGTGTGGCGGGGGCGCGGAGCGATGGCGGATTGAACGCTAATCAAAATGATTATTTCGATGAGCACGCAAGCGAACATGTAAAACATTAAATAATTATTTAATTATTTATTCAATTATTTGCGTGGTTCCCTTGCTCATTCAACCCATGGCACTGCGTGGCGGGGGCGCGGGGCGATGACTGATTGAATGCTAATCCAAATGATTATTTCGACGAGCACGTAAGCGAACATGTAAATAAGTGAATTGAATAATGAATTAACTATTTACTTAATTATTTGCGTGGTTCCTTTGCTCATTTAACTATTGGCACTGCGTGGAGGAGGCGCGGAACGATGACGGATTGAATGCTACTCAAAATGGTTACTTCCAATGAGCACGCAAGCGAACATGTAGATAATTAAATAATTCTTTAATTATTTATTTAATTATTTGCGTGGTTCCCTTGCTCATTTAAGCATTGGCACTGCGTGGAGGAGGCGCGGAACGATGCGGATTGGATGAGAATCTAAATGATTATTGCAATGAGCACGCAAGCGAACATGTAAATAATTAAATAATTATTTAATTACTTCTTCAATTATTTGCGTGGTTCCCTTGCTCATTTAAGCATTGGCACTGCGCGGAGGAGGCGCGGAACGATGCAGGTTGAATGCCAAGCAAAATTGTTATTTCAATGAGCACGCAAGCGAACATGTAAGTAATTAAATAACTATTTAATTATTTATTTAATTATTTGCGTGGTTCCCTTGCTCATTTAAGCATTGGCACTGTGTGGAGGAGGCGCGGAACGATGACGGTGGAGAGGTAGGTGTATGAAATATTGAATGCTAATCAAAATGGTTATTTAAATGAGCACGCAATCCAACGTTTAAATAATTAAATAATTATTTCAATGAGCACTGCGAACCCCATGGGCCGCACGAGCGCTATGAAGCCCTGAGGGCCTTACGAGCCCTACGAGCCCTATGAGACCGGTGAGCCCTACGAGCCCCATGAGTCTTCTGAGCCCAATGAGCCCTAGGAGTCGCATGAGCACTACGAGTTCTGTGATCCTTTGAGCTCTACGAGTCCTGTGATCCCTGTGAGCGCTATAAGGCCTGAGCCCCATGAGGCCTATGAGACCTATGAGCCCTATAGGATCTACAAGCCCTATGTGCCCTCTTCGGCTGCATTGGCGGCCTCTTGAGCTGTTCGGTTGCCGTCTTAGTGGCCTCCTGAGCCATCATGCGCGTGAAGGAGTGGAAAGAGAGGATGCGGGGAGTGGAGAAGAGAGGAGAAGGAGAGCGGAGAGGGAGATAGGGCGGGGAGCGGAGGAAGGAGGGGGCAGAATGGAGAGGGAGATAGGATGAGAGCGATCGATAATCGTGATGCTGATGAAGATGATGATGATGGTGCTGATGATCATGATCATGATCATGATGCTGATGATGGTGATGATGATGATCATGATCATAATGATGATGGTGATCATGATCATGATGATCAGGATCATGATGATAAACATGATGACGATGATGGTGTTCATGATGATGGTGATGTTGATGATGCTGCTGATGATGATGCTGATCATGATGCTGATGACGGTGGTGATGACGATGATGTCAATGTTGATAATGAGAACGATGGTGATGGCCATGACGATGGCAATAACAATGATGATGTCATGGTGATAGTTTGCAACTGTCGATGCTGATGATGATCATCAGGATGATGGTGATGATGAGGCCAGTAACGATGATGATGGTGATGATGATCATGATGATGATGCGCCTATGCGCCTGTGCCGGCAGACATTGAAGGCACTGCGAACAAGCCACCGCTGATGATACGAACTTGGCCAGATTCGTATCCTGGGGCCTGGCCACATTGGATGATACGAGATATTGGCCTAACTCGTATCTTAGAGTATCTACACTGATGATGATGCTGATGATGTTGATGATCATGATGATGATCATCATGATGAGGATGAAATCGCTGATCATGATGACGATGATGACCGTGATGAGGATGATGGTGAACATGATGATGATCACGAATATGACCACTTCAATGACAGTGCTGATGATCAAAATGATTGTGATGGTGGTGATGATGGTGACCATGATGATCATGATGATGATAACGACCATGATCATGATGGCAATTTGGAAGGGAGATCAGGATCACGAGGAAGATTAGGAAGGAGATTTGGAGGGGAAGGATCAGCAGCGGCAGCAGCAACAGCGGCATGAGCAGTCATGATTTTCTCGGTTGCTCGTTGGTGTAGTTGTCCGCATCCGTAGGTTTTTGTCTCGAGCTGGATTTTTTGGAACTGAAGAAGTGCGTGGGCCATGGGTGGGGCTCGGAAAAGGCTAGAGCAGCGGGTCCTCAAGTTGATCACCAAGGAGGCTCGTCTGCTGGCGCGTCTCAAGAACGTGCGCGCCAAGAAGAAGCGCGCGCAGGAGAGGCTGACATCGAACGGCGTTCCTTCGTTTTCTTTTTCCTCTTCGTCTTCCTCTTCCTCAGCCGCCGCGCCGGGTTCTGAGGGCCACTCCGCTGCGGA